CCCCTTAAGCCAAAACTCCCCAAGTAAACTGCTCTGCCCAAAACATGGGAATGCTTCCAGAAGGGAATTGCACCTGTTTAATGAGGAATTTTATTAAACTGGTGCGATTTGTTCAAGCTGAAGGAGAACTACTGATGAAGAACTAATACGAGCAGCAAGGGAAGAGGAACAGAGTAAAATCCTCACGGAATAACCTCGAGAAATAGGAGTTCTGCAAAACTGGGCAGAGCACAGATGTCTGCAGCATGTGACAAGGTGTTCCCATCATCTGCCCTTTCCCTGAAGTGAATAGTCCCAAAAGTAAAGTGGAAGGAGTGAGTAACTGGGGAGGGAGTGACTGGGAACCTGCGAGTCCTTCCCAGTATGAGGGGTAGAGGTGGAAGCCACGAGAGGCTGAGGATGGGAAGGCACAAAATCCTAAGTGTGGGAATGTTCCTGCTGGAGATTGGCAGAAATGCATCTGCAAGGAGAGTTGTTTCCATAGGAAAGTCAAATGAGAACCAAAATTTCAGTTCCAGCAGAGGACAAAGTGGTGACTGTTCCATCAGGCCTTAGAGACTGAACAGCCTCACCCAAACAACACTGCTGGTGTTAGTTGTCCATGTAATCCTTGTCCTTTCCAAAGGAAAAAGGGAAATATAGAATCACAGAATGGGTTGGGAAGGACCTTAAAGCTTGTCTTGTTCCACCCCCTGCCATGGGCAGGGACATCTCCTACTAGACCAGGTTTCTTCATAGAATCATCAAGGTTGGAGGAGACCTCTAAGATCATCAAGTCCAACCATGTCACTCATTTCAGCCTGGCCTGGAACACTCCCAGGGATGGAGCAGCCACAGCTTTTCTGGGCAATCCATTCTATTGCCTCAGCACAAATGGAGAGCATGGAAAAGCCAAAGGAGGAAACTCAACTCTGCATTAGTAGGAGCAGCTTAACAGACACCACAAATAACCTTCTGCAGGGCTAAGGAACATGGAGAGCCTAGAGGAGGAAGGCAAAGAGTTCTGCTCATCCACACTCTTCCATCCAGCCCTGACTGGTGCTTAGCCACAGAGAAGTGTAGGAAGCAAAGCACCAAGACAGCATTCCATTCCCAGCATCCTCCTGAGGCCTCCCTGGGCACAGCTCAGTCTCTCCTATAACCTCTCATCATCCACATTTCAGTGCAGCAATGAGGGAGCAACAAACCCATGGGGATTTTGCATGGAAGTTCCTTTTCCACCCTGTAAGAGCCGTGGAGAGGTTGATGCCTTTTGATCCCAGATCCAGGCACATCCTGGGAAGTCTGTGCAGCTCTAAAACTACATTAGTTCTTCCTACAGCAATACAAAAGACCTTCAACTCCTAGGTAAGCTTTGTGTGGGTGTAAATTCCAACAGAGATCCTATCAGCAGCTTCTTCCCACTTGGATAATTCTTCAGATCACCTCGAGAAAAATTATTAAGCTGCAAAAGACTGGAAAAGTTGGAGAATTTTCACATAACCTGCAGCATTAGCCTCCATCCTGCACCAACTGGAGAGGAATTTGTCAACAAATGTCAGGGCTCAGGATGGGAAATGAAGGTGTTGAAGTGAAGGTTCAGAAGATGCTGTTTTAGGAGGCTCCAAGGGCTGGAAAGGCAGAAAGTAGATCCTAAAAGGAAGGAGGAAAGTGGTGATTTAAAGGCTAAAGGATTTTGGAACCACCTCTGGCTATTTAGTAAACAGTTCTCAGCAACAAGTCAGATGGAACAAATCCTAAACCTTGGACAAAAATGTGTTGCAAGTTTGGTTCTTCACTGTGGGAAGAGCTGCAGGGACAGATCTCTGCTCCTGCAGGGACCAGAGGAAGGAAAAGATCATCTTCTCCATCAGCCTCAGCTTCTCTTGGCTCAGCTCTATCAGCCTCCTGCTCCTGCAGTACAAAAGACTTTCAACTTCAAAATGAAGAGATTCCAACTCCCCAAAAAGTGTCACTCTGAAATGCTCAACAGCCTTTAATTCATTTGGAACCTAGAGGCAGAGGAAAAAAAATAGGCAAAAAAAATACATCACAGCCTTAATCCAGGGGGAGAAAGGAAAAAAAAATGGGTTTTCTAGCACATAATCAGACACTTACAAATATATTTCACTGGAGGAAAGGGGAGGAAGGTGCATTTCCTATTTCTTTTTCAATAGTCCCAGGGGCCACCAAGAGAGTTCTTATCCCAAACTTGCACAAGCCATTCCTAAACCAAAAGGAAGGATTTAAAAAACCACAGAAAAAGAGAGAAAACCTTTGCCCCAAGGAAAGGCATTAGACAGTTCCAGGTTCACTTTCCAACATAAATCAGTGTGTGGATATGGGAGGAGGAAACACTTTTGGCTTTACAATGTAAATAGTAGTTTGAAAAGGTTCTTGATATGGACACAGCAATTCTGTTACTGCAGTCAGGGCTTGAACATGCAGAGGAAACTCCTCAGCCCATCCCACCCTTCCCTCCTATCCCCAACAAAAAAAATCTCTGCTGCTTAAATTTCTCTTCCAGTTGCTTGAAATATTTCTCTCATGGCCTAGCAACACTCTAAAGTCTTTTACACAAAGTAAGTTTGGGATGAAATCATATCTTAAGAGACAGGAGACAAGTCTAGAGGAGGAACAACCGAGGCTTGGAAGAACCTTGCCAATGTTTGCAACTTTTATTAGTCTCAGTTTGGTGTTTTGTTTTGTTTTTTTATTGGTGGAGACAACTACTGAAAACGTCAAAAAACTCCCAAATGTGAAGGAAAAAAAAACAAACCACAACCCTGTTTGAGAGGTCTTACAAATATCCACAACGTGCTCAAGAACCCGTAGCAGAGGTCAGGGAGGAAAGGAACTCCCAATTCCCAAGGGAGAACAAAACCAAAGGGGAAAAAAAAAACACCCCAAAACCCCATGGTGGAGACAACTACTGAAAACGTCAAAAAACTCCCAAATGTGAAGGAAAAAAAAACAAACCACAACCCTGTTTGAGAGGTCTTACAAATATCCACAACGTGCTCAAGAACCCGTAGCAGAGGTCAGGGAGGAAAGGAACTCCCAATTCCCAAGGGAGAACAAAACCAAAGGGGAAAAAAAAAACACCCCAAAACCCCAAATGAAATCATTTTATTCTATTCTACTTCAGATGCTAATCTACCATCTGCTAAACCACAAATCCTTCCCACTTAGTCCCTTTTTCAAGATCCAGCTAGAATGCTGCTTTAAAAAAAAAACCAAAAGTCTCTCCCTGGAACAACGAGCACCTTGCAAAAGGGGCTTCAAAAATTCAGGATCAAACCAAGGATATTGTCTCTTGCCATCCAGTAATCACAGGGAACTAAGTGGCAAAGGTTGTAGTGCAATTGCCTGGGTGGGGTGTGGAGTTGAGGGGTCCAACGTGCCCTTGGCCCCTTCCAGCTCTCTACTAGTGCTGCCTTGTTCTCTCCCTCTGACTTGAGGTCCTCCAAAGAGAGGGGAAGACTTTCCAGTGACTTCA